CAAGAAATGCCTGGTTGCTACTAAACTCAATTTTCTTCAACCGCTTCTTCTCCCACATCTCCAACCTCAGATTTTCTCCCACAACTCAGATTTTCTTCCACCCGAAGGGCATACAATTTGTGGGTTTTTCTCCAAATCCATTTCCACAACCCCCTGTCAACGTTAGATCTAATTCTTTGTGCTGAGTTTAGGATTTAGCCATAAAAAAAAAGCCGTCCAAGTTCTGCTACTCCAAGTATTCTACCGGAGCAACGGAAGAGCAAGATTCAAGCCGTGAATGAATCCATCTGCATACAAAGCTGTCAGATCTAAGAACCATACAAAGCCTTTAATGAATTCATCAACTAAGTCCTGAGTTTTCTTCGAGGTGAGCCTTTCTAAGATATCCTTTCTTGTTTTTGGCCCGTTTATTTTAGATTCTGTTTTCTTGGGGGGTGTCAAATCCATCTGCATGTTCTAAATCTCGCAATTTGGGGAGTTTTTATGATTTTATCTGTCGGGTTGCTAATGTTTTTCCGTGGTTTGCGAATCTTTTGGAGTAGAATTGTTTAAGCACGCGCCTGTGTAGCTTAGGTTGTTTGTGAAAATCCCATATCGCAATGGAGATTGGGTGGTGTTCTAGAATCTAGACTCTTGTTAATTTGTATAACCTGGATGATTTCCCCTTGAAGTATGGATCTACTTAGGCTTGGAGGAGGCAGAATTTGAAGATAAATGCTAGTTTAATTGGCAAAGTCTTCCTACAACTTTACGTCTTGCCAAATTGTTCCTTCAAATCTATGCTTATAACTTTCCCAATTCCATTTGAAAAAATGTCATTCAAAAGAAAGCTAATTTGGAGACTAATTTAATATGTACTACATCTTCTAAGGTTATTAAGAAAAGTTACAGTTTTGTTGTGATATGGAGACTAATTTAATGTTGGTTGCAGAGATGGCCTCAAATGTACAGCTTCAAATATGCGTGTAAATGTTGGTTTTCAAGATAGTAACGATAAAGTTTGAACCCTAAATTGTAACAGATGATTTGGTTTATAATCTGATTGCTTTCTATTGGTGTAATGATTTGCAGATCATTTACGGTAAAGAATGATATTAATCATGTGGTTGGCTATCTTGAAGGCAATTTCGCATTCAGAGTCTTTGACAAATCTACTTCCACCTTATTTGTGCCTTTGTGGCTATTGTGAGTAATCTTAATCCCTTAGATTTAAATTCATTAAGTTTTCATACCTAACGATCAATTAATATTGGCTAAAGTTCCTCTGTATTGGGGAATCACTGCTGATGGATGTGTGACTGATAGAGTCTATAAATTATGTTTTAATAGTTATAATTTTATTAGTTTATTGACTCGGATGGATTTAAATCATCGGTTTTGTTATTATTTCATGTTAAGAGCTGAAAATGAGAGATTGAGGCTGTTTTGAATTAATTTACACATCTAGGGACCTGTTTACATAATTGAAGAAGTTTTGGGGCAAAAGTGACAAAGATGCAAACTTGAAGGACCAATATGCAAATTTCAGATTTCTTTACTCTTTTCCTGAGGCTGACCTGAATTCCTATTATAATTAGACTTTTGATCATTGTTTTGGAGGCAGCCGTACGTAGGCCAAAAGGCTAGCACGTCCCATCTTTTTGTTTACCGAATTTTCTTGGTTTTCCATGGAGAATAAAGCCCTCATGGTTGCATCCATGAGTGGCTAAGGTTTTTCTTTCGTATTCAAGGGATTAATTCAGTTGTGTCATTGTGAGGTTATGCTTTAATTTATCTTTCTTAGGTTTAATTCTTGTATTTGTTGATTGTTGTTTTTCTTTCATGGAAGTAGATATCGTTCAAATTGACAACTTGATTGACTTTTGCTTTCTATTGCTATCTAATGGTTGAATGTTACGTAATAGACACGAACCAATGATACTAAGTTGTAATTATGCTATGTATATGTATTAGTGAGACATAGGATGCACATGCTAGTTGAAATGTGGAATCAACAGGACAAAACTAATTAATTGTAGCTATCTCTGTTAATTGGTTTTGGTTCAACTATTTCTTTTGTTTATTGCTGTTGTGGTTAGACATGGAACGCTATCGTGCCAAGTCTGTAATTGCAAGATTTGATTGAATGCTGGGTTTGGTCAATGTCTTTAGAGAAGTCCGAATTTGTTATGGCTATCCTAATAAATTTAGAGTTGAATGCTTGAATGTCAGAATGCCTTTCTGACCTATGATGAGTGAGATAATTGAGTTGTATATCCCTATGCTCAGTAGTTTGTTACTCAGACTTGCTTCATTTATTTATTTTCTGTCCTTTATATTTCCATTGTCTTAGATATTAAACAACCAACCAAAAATCAATCTTTACATTAATTTAAAGGAAGCAATCCACCTTTCCTTGAGGAGACGACCTTACTTCTCTATACTACAGTAGTTTGAAGTAGATTATTTTATTTGTGTGGCTTGGCAACCCATCAAATTGGCGCCGTTGCCGGGGAACGGTGTTAAGTGATTTGTTTCCTTTAAATTTTTGTTTTGTTTTATTCTTTATTTTTTCTTTTTACAATAGACTATTATGCACATCAACCTTGGAACCGGAAAGATGGCCATTGGAATACAAATGAGGTAAGCTCTTCAGGTCTTGAGCAACAGTTATCTGAACTAACGTCTCTTGTGAAAAATTTTGCTATAGGTCAACAGAGACAAATCACAAGATGTGGTCTTTGTTCAATGACTAGTCATACTAGAGACTTTTGTTAAAGATTAGCAAGTTACCAGTGGGAGCCTCAGAATGCCATAGCGAATCTCGGGAACCGCCACAAGAGAGACACAAAGCTAGTTCATACTCATATGACCCAGGCTGGCAAGATTACCAAAGTTTCAACTATGAGTATCAGCCACCTCATACCCCACAAGCATATCAATCTCCAGCACCTCCACAGTCTCAGAATTCAGGTATGTATTTAGAGGATATTGTTACATCTTTGGCTTCTAACACTCTCCAACTTCAATAGGATACGGTAGCTTTTCAAGAAGAAACAAGAGCAAGTATTCAAGATTTAGAGGGCCAACTTAGTCAGCTAGCTGCTGCTATCAGCAAGCTTGAGTTCTCAAGGTCTGTGAAAGTACCATCTCCGTCGGTAATTAATCCCATAGAGAGTGTCTGTGCCATAAGCGAGAAAGTAGCAACACCCAAAGATGATGTATCTGAGCATAAGGTAGCGAAGGAAGTTGTTAGAGAAGAGCAACATTATGTGATACTTCCTCCCTTTCCTAGCAGATTTTTAAGGGCCGAGTTAGAGAAAATGAAATATCATTTCATAGAACAAGTTTATGGTGTGGAGACTGTACCTACTCAAAACGCAGAAGATTTGAAACATATGAGGGTAGAGAAAAATGAGGCAGAAACATTGGACGACAATGACGTAATTGATCTTTCAATTTTATTTAGTCAAACTAATGCAGCCGATACTTCTTTTCCAGATATGTGATTAGAGTCTAGGATAGAGGAGTCCAAACAGAAAGTGATGGAGAACTTTTCCAAGAATGAGGTACTAGTTGGAGAAGATGTATCTGGTATGTTACAATCAAAGCTTTTCCTATATAATGATCCAGGTATACTTACTCTACCATGTTCTGTTGCCAATATAATTGATGAATGGAAATCTCCAAAACTAGAGTCAAAACCGCCACCTATATCTCTAGATTGTGCATATGGGCATCTTTCTCGACCTCCTGAAATAGAACTAAAGATAGATGCAATTTTCGAAAGGCTAGATAGATGTGGGGTATTTAAGGAAAATGTTAGATGAGACTATTTTGCGCCTCATTTTGTTGATTCAAAATATCAATTTGATCCATCTAGCTTTGATCTTATTGGAATTTGCTCAGGGTTTTATCATATTTCATTTTTCTGCAAAGAGTGCACAAGTGATCAATTCTCTCTGCCATCTCTCTACCTCCCTCCCATGGCCGGCGAACCGCCGCCGGCCATAGGCCTTACACCGCTTCAACGGCCTTCATTTGCTCAGGTTTTAGCCTCTAATTCAAATAAAAAAATAATTCACAAAAAATCCACAAAACATCGAATTGTAAACCCTCCAATGATTCATTCGGAACCAACATTATTCAAAGGTGAGCCAACTTTTCTTCTTACAAAAGAAGAAGATGAACAATTGGTAGCCCCGTTTCGACTTGCCTTAGTTGGAAAATTCACCAAAGGTAGGCCAAAAATGGATTTTCTGCGGAGAGAATTCCAAATCACTGGCTTCAAAGGGAACTTTTCAATTGGATCAATTGATTACCGACATACTCTCATATGTTTCAATCTTGAAGAAGAATTCATCGCTACTGGCTAAAAGGATTGTGGACCTTTGACAAGCATCGGATGCGAGTTCTAAAATGGACCACAGACTTTAATCCAATCCATAAAAGTTCCATTGTTCCAGTTTGGGTTTCTTTTGAAGGACTCCCCATTCATCGATTTAATGAAGCATATTTGTGGAAACTTGCTAGCATCATTAGAAAGCCTCTTCAAATTGATGTTCTGACTCTCAATATGTCGTGACCTTCGGTGGCACGTGTTTGTGTAGAGATTGAACTTCTCAAGGACCATCCTATTCGTATCTGGCTGAGAGTTGAAGGTACTTCTTACTTTCAATCCGTATTCTATGAGAATATGCTTTTGCACTGTGTTGAATGTAAAACAATAGGTCATGATATCCATTCCTGCCATCACAACATGAACACATCTTCTTCACAAACGAAGGATTCGCATCAGCCAAAACAAATTTCTAAACAGAAATCACAAGTCAATCAAGCCGAAGTGATGACATCGAATAAGTCTCAACCGCCATTGGGAGCAAAACCCTTGGTGCCTCAAACTGAAGTGGCGCAGTAGCAGATTCAAGCAGACCAAGCCACCACTATTGTTGCTGCTACTCTACCACAAATCAGCGAATCACCCCACTCGAATCCTGATACTGTTGTTGTACCTCCGACCAATGAGGGAGAAGAATTGCCGCCGGTCACTGCGCCAATTGAACCCTGCTGTCGACGAAGAGCTTGCAGATGTCGCCATTGAACCCGTTGTTGCCGCCGCTGATGCGTTGGAAGCAACACAAAATATGCTGCCAGTTCCGCTGGAGTTGATCAATGAGACTCCGCCAATATTGTCGCTCACTAATCCACTCTTGCTCATCCACCAAGTCTGCTCGATGGCCACTCCCGAGATCAAGCCCTCGACACAAACCACCAGCTTTCTACCGAAAATCAAGCGTTGAATGAGGTCACTGCTGCCGCTGAGGAACTCAATTCACCATCTGCAATTAGGAGAATTAATGCTCTCTCATCGCTGGGAAGAAATCAGGGTTCAAGTTCATCACCAACCAAGGAAATCCGGCGTGAATCACCGATTGAAGCCCCCCTGATTTTGCACCCTCAGAATACCGCGCTTTGTGCGTCTTCAGCGCAACCATCTCCATCTGTCCCGGCTTATTTAATTTCAAATGATGATAAGTCAAAATCAGTGGCTCAATCTGATCCAGAATTTTCAGTCTCAAAAGACGAAGGGTTGAAGTCAAACTCTCCGAAATATCTCCCCTTAGATAATGAGGATTCTTTTTCTAAAAATAGCTCTACTAGCGTCTCCACAAAAAAAAAAAAATCTAAATCCCGGTGCTCCAGAATTTAACTATCCTCCTCAGTCAAAAATCCCACTTTTACAGGTTTTACTTCCTATTTCAGCCCCTCAACAATTCTTATCCAAAGATGATACCGAGATAAGAAAGAATACAGAGTCTTTTGATACAAATTTCTCAATTGAGGGCATCAATTCCGAAGGTGATCAGAATCATGCTTTTAACAGATCAGAATATGAAGACTTTGACACGGAATGGGAATTGTAACGAGAGTCTTTCTACAGTGAAGTTTCTTCTCCGATATATCATAATCACTCAAAAAAGGCCAAGGCAAAAAAGAAAAAAAGTTCAAGTTCGTCGGTCAACTAGATTGAATAAGGATTAAAATTTTACTTTATGATCAAAATTGTACTTGCTATAGGGTTTAATACATTCGCTGCCCTATTTTTTTTTCATAAAATTGTGTTTTTTTTAAAAAAAAAAAAATTCATATTCCATTGTTAGGTGGAGGTTCAAAATTTCCTCCTTGAGGCACACCAAATTGGTCTAGCCAAAGACAATAAGGAAAGGCGCTGCTTGGGAGGCAACCCAAAGTGTTTAAATTATATTGTGTTGATTAGTTAGTTTATTTTTGTTGGTTAGAGTCAAGTTTTTAATGTGTGTTTAGTATTTTTCCTTTAGAGAAAGAAAATAAGAAAAAAGAGAATTTATGTTAAGCATGATCACGGGTAAAATAATATTTGGTTCGTTGAATTTTATTGGAGTAATTTTCACTTAGGCTTGATCACGACCTAAGAGAAAAATAGGTTCTAGATTTTCAAGTCAATTTTCAACAAAAAGAACCGAAGCTAAACTTCCATTAGAAGTGATCATGTCTAACACGAACAGATCCTTTTTCAAAAAAAATCATTATCATTATATATATTAAAGGAAAGAAAGATAATCGACATGTGTCGTTAGTTGAGACTATCAAGCATCTTTAACTTATTATTATTTTAGCCCTTAAAGTTCTATCTATGTGTTACTCTGTCTTCAATTTTATTGATTTTATATTTTTAAGGACGATTAATTGTGTCTAATCCCCAAAGTCCCCTTACCTATAAATAAGCCATAGGCATCTAGACATAATTTACGTATTTTTTAATATATTTTTTAATCCAAAGATAACATTAGTTAGTGGTGACAATTTTGATTATACAACTTTTCAAAATTTTTGTTGTAATATTTTTGGCCAGATGTTACAAATATACATATCATACATAATATCAATATCTCTCACTTTGATCTAAAATTGATTAATCAAAAAAATTTTACGGTTTTAAGAAATATTAATAACTACATTATCTAATTAATTCTTTTGTAAGATAAATTTTCAACATTGACAAACCCGCGCAAAGTGCGGGACACATACTAGTAATAATAAAAGAAAAAAAAATTATTTACTATCGTTTTTTTTTTTCCAAGGAACCTCCAATCCCAAATTACCAGCAGCGGATTAGCAGCGACAGCCTTCTACCAGGCCAACATCGCCAATTTCCACAACTTGTCGGCGTTCGGAGTTCCATTTCCACCCTCCATCACCTGTGGCGGGTATCACCACAACCACCATCGCTGTTCTTCACCTCTCTGCCGCTGCTTTATATCTTGGCTGTCTCTTTCCATCATCATCGCTGTTCTTCGCTTCAGTCCTCCATCGTCGGACGTCCGCTGCCATCCATCACCTTCTTTCATCTTCTGGCGGCTGCTCCATCAATTCCAGGGTTCCATTAATTCTGCTCTACTGCTGCGGGTTAATTCCACCTTTCACCGTTCCACTTTCCGGCGGGGTATATCTCAATTTTGGCGTTGTACTATCGTCGATCCCTGCCGCTGTTTGTCGACGATTGCTACTGTTGCTCAATTCCGGCATTCTCTGTTACTGCCGCCGTCCGCTGTTGCTACTAATCAATTCCATCAGCCCATCCTTCATTCACCGTCCGACGATCCTTCCCCTCAATTCGTACTCCAGAGCTCTGTTCTGCCGATTGCTTCCGTCCGTCAGTTCACTCCAATTGCGGCGCTCCATTCCCTGCTGCTGCTGTCGTCGGAAAGTATTCTCAGTTTTGATGGAAACCCAACACCTCTGCTTCATCGTTGTGGTCGATCGCGAGCTAATCAGGTCACTTCGTGATTCGTTGCTGCTGCCGTTCGTGTACATCATCGCTGTTGCTGTTCTCTTTCCGTCACCATCACCGGCTGAAGGTTTACACGCTTCCACCTGAGCTTGTTGGCTGTCGGAAATACATCGCATCTATTGCCACTGCTGCTATACTTAAGGGGATTCGTCCGTCCGTTTTACCATTCAACCTTGCTGCTCCCGACGGCCATCAACTCCATTGTTTCACTTCAAATCAACCCAACAATTATCCACGAAGTTTCTATTCTCATCTTTTTACAGCAGTTCCGGTATGTTAATTCTTTTTGCTGCCGTTCTGATGATAGTCTCTCTTGGAGTTTAATTGTGTTCATTTGGTGCTGAGAGTGTTAATGTTTATATTGTCTTTTATGCTACTTTGAGTTGGGTTTGGATTATGTTTCAGTAGTTTTTTTATGGGGATTAAATTTGAGTGAACTGAATTTAAAAGGTGTTGTTGTACTCCACACTAAGAAGTCGTGCTTAGCTCCTTGGTTTACATCTTTTGTGTGAGTATGACGTGCTACATTGAGGGTAATGTAGAAATTAAGTGTTGGGGAAAGTTTCTGTTTTCTTTTGTGTGTTTTTGTGTTTTGTTTTCTTTTGTTAAAAAAATTTTAAATTAAAAAATGAAACCAGAAAATGAAAAATACCAAAAAATAGCCAATGATGAACTTAACTTGAGACTCTATGAAGTCTAATTACATTGGGACAAAAATTTCTTTTGAGTCTATGCATTGTGTGTTATACCTTAAATACTTTACTTGCGCACTTTAGCCATAACTCTGGGATAAACTTAACATGTATGTGTAGTTGCTTAAATTCATGTGATATCCAAAGTTTGATTTGATTCATTCAGTATTTATACCATGTGCATGTGGGACCTTGCTATATTATGAAACCCAAAATAAGGCATTAACCCTATCATCACTTCAAACTCGTAAAAACGGGGGAGTGATGGTTTGAAAATAGCCTTTTTTACCTTCTTGCTTAAAGTAATTTGTACTAAGTAAGTGTGGGGGAGGGGTTGTTGGCGGATGCTTTTCTGAGGTTTGGTACAATTTAAAGAGGGAGAAAAAGAAGAGCATTCAATATTGATGCCAGCCCATTGATAGGTGAGTAGTTTGGCAAACAACTAGCAGAGTGTCCTTAGGCCCGTCGGTGAAAAAATATGAGTAAGTAAACTGCCCTAAGTTGCTGAGGCACTATGTAAATTATTACATAAATCAAGTGAAAAATTGCTCTGGGTAGGGGCCTGAGTGGGAAAGATCCTGAAGAAAAGCCATATGGACATTGAAGAATGGGTACGAGGGAAGGGCGTTGAATTTTATAATGTGAGGTGTAACTGTAAGCCTTCGGTTTCATAATATATGTAGGAATAACATTGCATTGATGTACGGTCTGAATTAGAGATCCTAAGTTCACTCTTCAGTGGCATATTTGCATTTGAATTTTTGTATTTTATGCTATGTATGCTAGTGATGTCCCTAAGGAGTGGTTTACACACACACACAAAGGGTTAAAGGGTAAAAGCACATAACGTATTTGACTTGGTTGTGAACTTTTGTTTCATTGTTACCATGATTTCTTTTGAGTGCTAGAGTTCCTGAGGTGCATCTTAAATAAGAGAAGTTAAATTTCCTTTGTTCTTTAATGCTTGAGGGCAAGCATGCTTAAAGTGTGGGGGAATTCGATAGAGTACATAAATTATGTTTTAATTGTTATAATTTTATTAGTTTATGGACTCGAATGGATTTAAATCATTGGTTTTGTTATTATTTCATGTTAGGAGCTGAAAATAAGAGATTGGAGCTGTTTTGGATTAATTAAATATCTAGTGACCTGTTTGCATAATTAAAGAAGTTTTGGGGCAAAAGTGACAAAGACACAAACTTGAAGGACCAATATGCAAATTTTAGTTTTTTTTTACTCTTTTCCCCTGGCTGACCTAAACTGCTATTATAATTAGACTTTTGATCATTGTTTTGGAGGCAGCCGTGCGTAGGCCAAAAGGCTAGCACCTCCCATCTTTTCGTTTACCAAATGTTCTTGGTTTTCCATGGAGAATAAAACCCTCATGGTTGCATCCATGAGTGGCTAAGGTTTTTCTTTCTGATTCAAGTGATTAATTCAGTTGTTTTATTGTGAGGTTATGCTTTAATTTATCTTTCTTAGTTTGAATTCTTGTATTTGTTGATTCTTGTTTTTATTTCATGGAAGTAGATATCATTAAAATTGACAACTTGATTGAGTTTTGCTTTCTATTGCAATCTATTGGTTGGATGTTACGTAATAGACACGAACCAATGGTACTTAGTAGTAATTAGGCTATGTATGTGTATCAGTGACACATAGGATGCACATGCTAGTTTAAATGTGGAATCAACAGGACAAAACTAATTAATTGTAGCTATTTCTGTTAATTGGTTTTGGTTCAACTATTTCTGGTGTTTATTGCTGTTCTGGTTAGACATGGAACGCTATCGTGCCCAGTCTGTCATAGCAAGATTTGATTGAATGCTGGGTTTGGTCAATGTCTTTAGAGAAGTTCGAATTTGTTATAGCTATCCTAATAAATTTGGGGTTGAATGCTTGAATGTAAGAATGCCTTTCTGACCTATGATGAGTGAAATAATTGAGTTATATGTCCCTTGGATCAGTAGTTTGTTACTCAGATTTACTTCATTTATTTATTTTCAGTTCTTTATATTTCCATTGTCTAAGTTATTAAACAACCAACCAAAAATCAATCTTTACATTAATTTAAAGCAAGAAATCCACCTTTCCCTGAGGAGACGACCTTACTTCTCTATACTACAGTAGTTTAAAGTAGGTTATTTTATTTGTGTGGCTTGACAACCCATCAGTGGCATTATAGTGGGTTCATTGAAGATTAAACACTATTATGTTTAATGGTCAGAGAAACAATCCTGTCAATCGCAATGAATAATAATAAGCTTAAATGCATCTGATTACCAGCTTTTATGTTTCAGGGAAACAAACATGTGCTTTTTGCAGAATGTTTTCACACAATTTTTTGTTTAATTGTCAGAGAAGTAATCATGTCAATCTAACATCTAGAAGATGCATCGAATCAAATGCTCTCTCCTCTCTCCCCCTAAAGCTGAAACCGGCAAATACATCTAATGACCGGCGATCAACCACTGGCCAGTAGCCTAGTCCAACCCCTAAACAATAAACCATCCTTTGCTCAAATTCTTGGAGGTCTTAAACCAAATCCAAGAACATTATCCAAAGCTTTCACGGGTTCTTCTGAACCAAAGGCTTCCATTATTCAATCTGAACCAACACAATACAAAGGAGAGCCAACTTTCCTTCTAACTCAGGAGGAAGATGACAAATTGGCTGCTCCATTTCGGCTTGCTCTTGTCGGAAAATTCAAAACGGGTCGACCAACAATGGATTATTTGTGGAAAGAATTCCAAACAATAGGTTTCAAAGGTGGTTTCTCTCTGGGAATGATTGATCGACGTCATGTTCTCATCTACTTTGATCTAGAGGAACATTTCCAATACTGTTGGATGAAATGTGTTTGGACTTTTGATACGCATTCCATGCGAATTCAAAAACGGACACCATCTTTCAACCCGGCACATGAGTCTCCGATTGTTTCAGTTTGGGTGTCTTTTGAAGGACTTCCAATTCACCGTTTCAATCTAGAATAGTTGCACAAAGTTGCTACAATCATTGGTAAGCCCCTCAAAATCGACGTTCCTACTCTCAACATGTCCCGTCCCTATGTTTCTCAAGTTTGTGTAGAGGTAAATCTTCTCAAAGAACTGTCCATCCGAATCAGACTCGGTGTGGAAGGCAACTCCTATTTCCAATCTGTCTACTATGAAAACCTACCCCTATATTGTAAAGATTGGACATGATCTCCAATCTTGTTGGCATAATAAGAGCAATAAACATGCAACATGGTCCGTGCCAAGAAAATCCCAAGAAAATTCTCAAAAAGTTGTGCAAAGTACTTCGGTGCAAGTTGTGCCTTCCAATAGTGATCCAAAACCTTCAAAGGTTGGCCAAACGAAGTTGCAAACCTCTGTTGTTGATGTTGATGGTAAGTCAATGTGCGGAACAAAGAGATTGTCGCGACTGAGAAAGTTACGGACCCCTGCGGAGAAAACAATACGCTGGAAGCAATTCCACAGTCGGAGAAAACCCTAGAAGGATCTACCTCTAGGTTAACATTGAGTGAGAAATTAAGCATTCTTGTTGATGTCCCGACAACACAGGTTGTTTCAGTCGCGTCCCTGTAAGATTTGAATGACGCATCAATAAAGGAAGATCCACCAGGTTAACATTGAGTGAGAAATTAAGCATTGTGGTTGATGTCCCGACAACACAGGTGGTTTTAGTCGCGTCTCTGTAAGATTTGAATGACGCATCAACAAAGGAAGATCCACCAAAAGGCCTGAAATCACTTGAAGCGCTGACACCGGTTGAATCCGCAAGGACGGATGATGCTGTTTATGATGTTGCGCCAATGCTATCTAATCAACTAGTTCTGGCTATTCATGAAGGCGAAAAGTCTGCTTTTGGACAAGCTCTTCCAATGGGAACAATGGAGGAAGTCCGGTGACCAGTTCCGGTGACAAGTGACGGGCAGACTCCAAGCCAATCAATTCCCGAATCTCCAAATTCGAACGCAGAAGGAACGCGATCTGCTCCTGCAACTCCCTCTGATTCTGGTTTTTCAAATTCAAATTCAAGATCCAACCTGAATAGAGAAAGGATGCGATCTATTGAGTCTTTAACGCCTCGCGTTTCTCCCTCATCACACGAAGTCAACTCCATCACCGCAACTGAGTCATGCGTCTTCTGCATATATTGCGTTGTCAATGCCAAATTTAACTGGGGCAAAAACTACCACAGATAATCTACCGCAGTCTCCTATTTTAAATGTGGTAAATTCTAATTCAAATTCACCTTTATCTCAAAATTTACCACATCCCTCTAACTCAAAGTCTGAAGGCATGTTCTCTCAAAACAACTCAGCTACCATCTCCACACAAAAATTTAATCCTGATGCAGTTGAATTTAATTACTCTTCTCAGCCACCAATTCCCTTACTACAGGTTATACTGCTTATCACATCCCTAAAAACGTATTTGTCCAAGGATGATATCGAAGTAGGGAAGAATGTTGAGCCTTTTAATCCAAGTCACTCAAATTGAAAAAATAAATTCAGAAGGCGGAATAAATCATGCTTCTAATGGTTCTGATGATGAAGAATTCGATATTGACTATGCAATGGAACAAAAATCATTTTACAGTGAAGTTTTTGCTCCAACATATCACAATCATTCGAGAAAAGCCAAAGCTAAAAGGAAAGTTCAAGTTCGTCGGTCTGCTAGATTGAACAAGTTTTAAACTTTGCTTTATGATCACAATTGTATTTGGTATAGGGTTTAGTATATTCGCTACCCTATTTTTTCTTTGTTATTAATAAAATTGTGTGTTTTTCTTGAAAAAAAAAAGTAATCATGTCAATCTTGCTGAGTAATAATAAGCTTTATAGAGATCTGACTTCATGAACATTAGGAACTTTACAGTAGATATCCTTGTATTATTAGATGTCCTTTTGTTAGTAGAACTTCGCAAACTTCTATTTCTCATGTGCACCTCAAGAGTTTACCTGTGAATACGCTTCTTGTTAGCACCATTTCTAGTTATTAGGACTGTAGGAGTATCAGCCAGTATGAGGCCTGAATAACTACTGATAGCTAGTTCTATATCTCTGTAGGTGACTGAAAGGTATTCGTCAAGTTGCAATGACATTCCTCCCTGCCCGCCTTCTGTAATTGCTTTTTTTGAAGCCACGGCAAAAAGTCTTCGTAGAGGTATGTAATTCAGTACTTTCTTTTAATATTTGCATTGTAAGAAGTTTGTCGATGATCTCGATGAATATGAATTGGCTACATGTTTGCATGTTTATGTAGGTTAAGTATTCTTCGGTACCTTGGCATATTTGTGTCAAATTCTGGTTCTGGTTTGTTTGTTTGGTACTTCTTTCTGAATCCCTGCATCTGATGAGTTTCTTGAGGTATTCCAAACCTAAAATGTTGTCTGAATATTTTCCTTACCTCGGGAAACTATTGATCATTTACATTTTATTGCAATTTTTAAGGTGGAGATTTGGACTCCTTTTTAGCTGAAAATGAACTGTATAGCTTAGGTGGTTTGTGAACAATGCGCAGTTGAGATTGAGATGGGGTGGTATTCTAGAGTCTAGACTCCTTCATTTATGTGTTGGTTTGCATTTATGTGCTGCTTTTGTAGGTTTCAGTGAAACAAATTGCATGTATGAGACTGTTGTTGCTTGTTGACAATATTTGTCTATCAGTTTTGCTACATATAAATATATGATCTGTCGAATAAGAATGTCTTTTTGCTGCAGTTTTTGTCTTTTTACTGCATATAAATATATGGCTATTGGGAGCATTTGACAGATTTCTTGCAAAAGAAAGTCTTCATAGAGGTACGTAATTCGCTATTTTCTTCGTATATTTGTGTCAAAATAAGGTTTTTGCTAACTTGTAAGTGCTTACATGTGTGTGTGTATGTCATCTACATGTGTTGTCTGTTTTCCTTTTTGAGAAGTTACGCCACACTTAAAATGGTCAATGTCTTCTTCCTATTTGGTTAATGTCTTCTTCCTGTTTGAAACTGATTGTAATTGAAAGGGATTGTAATTAAAAGGGAATCATCAGCTAGATATACAGTTGAATTCGCTCAAATATAAAGTTTTAGTTGCTGAAAATTTGGTGGTCATATGAGCATTTTGAACTCTTTGGTCTATGTAATTGTCCCCTTTACTTTCTGTGGTGGTATACCTGCAGTATTAATGACCAGTCATTTGCTTGTGTTATTTGCAATAGGGGTTTGATGAGTACATGAACCTTGTCCTGGATGAGGCTGAGGAAGTGAACATAAAGAAGAAGTAAGATCTGATCAGCTGCTTCTGGTGTTGTGGATTATGTTATAACTTCTAGAGATAGTTGTAGTAGCTGCAACAGTTCTAATGTTTATTTGGAGATTCTAATGTTTCTTCTAATTAGATTTTTATGTTCCTTTTAGTGTACTTGATGCTCAAAACAATATAATAGAGGGATGAGTATACGGAAATTTAAAATTATGGGCCAAAAGAAAGAAAAATGCTACAAAAAATCTATTTAAAAAAAAAATGCTTGCTAAAGCCAGTTTAAATCAGGTGTACCTGATTACCCGACCGGAAACCCGAATAACCGAACAAGTTATTCGGGTTTTTAGTCAAATGATATTGTGCTTAAATTTGGGTTAACCCGTTTTCCGCCCGAGGACCCGAATAACCGAATCCGTTGACCCGAAACCTGCTATTTTGACCCGAATGAACAGGCCTATTCTCCACGGTGCAAGGAGAATGGTGCCATTCAACCAAATAAAAATTGGTTCTCCGTGGGGTTCAAGAAGAACGTGAACTCGATTTGTTTTACTGAATCAGTTGGGGTTTTTTCTACCTAAATGTATTAAAGGATCTGGTTCGAATCAAACTTTGAATTAAGTAGGTTTGATCTTTAATTGTTTGTTATTGAGCCAATTTTGTTGAACCTTCAGTTCCTTTGGCTGTATTAATTCTCCAATTTTCACATTCAATTGTTTATATATTTGGATCTTATTTCGATGTTATTTTTTGACTAAACACAAAACCACAAGATACGTTCTAAGAATGAAGCACGTTTTGGTTATTTATTTAGATTTCAGTTTTATAATGCCAACAAAATTTCAATCATAACACTATTACGAATTTCGCATTTTTATACAGGGGCGATGGAACAAGTTGAGCTAAATTCCTAACAAAGAGAGGTGTACGAAACCATAATTTTTTTTCTCATTATCGTAAGTCATATAATTTGCAATTTATATCATAAATTTGCAGTTGTTTATTGTTTATATGATTATTCTGGTGAGTTACCGGAGGGAGGCTTAAAAACCACGTAAATTTTAAGCTGTTTATACTAATTATCAAAGTTGTTGTTAATATTTTTATTATCAGAGTTTTAATTTTGTTTTTTGGTTTGTCAGTAAAGGAGAATGTAATTGTCACAAAAATGATGTGTTGGAGGTGCTTTCTTTTCGTAGTTTCTGTCCATAATTTTAAAAATCTGAGAGAGAGAAACAGAGGAAAACATGAAATCAATACACTATGATGTCTGCCAACATCAAGAGCAAAAAGTTATTCAGAAGAAACAAAAAATTAATTCAGAAACTCCAGCGATGACAAAGATTCAACTGCAAACAAATAAGAACACTGGAACCGTATTAAACCTATTTGCCACTGACTTTCCAAAAAAGAAAAAAAAAAACTAATGACTGCAACTTCAAAACCAACTCAACAATAAAGAGAAAAAATATTCGAACCAAATCAAACATGAGTCGAAAGCGAACAATTCGAGATCAATCTTAGAAGCAACAAGTTACTCAGAACTCCATCGTCTCTTCCCAATTCTGCCTCCGTTCTTCAACACAACTTCCCCTGCCAATCTTCAATTACTCCTTCTCCTCTACCACCAAAAAGAATCTCCTCCCTCCATACTTTCCAAATCCTAGCCACCATTAAAAATGATGATGGCTCAGTTCCACCTCCGCCAAATCGAGGCCTGTTTGGCTCAGTTCAAACGCTTTTCATTCTATTCTTTGCATACGGAGGAATTCGAGTGGGAAGAGGAAGAGGAAATCGACTATGGAGGAAGGAAATTTTGAATGCTTTGAGGAGTAAGAATTTTGTTTAAAGAGGCGGATTAAGAAATTTGAGTCGGGAGAGGAAGATTGTGTCGCATAAGGTGGAGGCGTGAGTTTATTCGTTCGTTTCTTCTCTTTATTTGGTTGGGTTTTTTCTCCGCGAAACAAAAACAAAAAAAGAAAAAGCGAGACCTTTAAACGACGTCCTTTTGAATGTGCGGGGTTTCAGGAAAAATAATAATTTTTTGATGGAATTTTTTATTAGTGAATGTCACGTAAAAATGCCCCGATCAATCGGACTGCAAGAAACTAATTGGCCAAGCGGCTTTTATTTTAGCTTCTAGATAAGGATGAGAAAAATCGAAGATGAAATGATCTCAAATGTAAATTTTGAGGGGGATAAAAAAAAAAGAGAGAGAAAGAGAGAGATCAATAGCTCTTACTTTTCTAAATCTTCTTAGTGTTTTTTTTTTTTTAACACCGAGAACCCCACCGGAGATGGGTAAATCCATGTCCTTGCAATATTCTTTTTTTTTTGTTTTTTTAATACTACCATGAACTCCACAAGAGATTCTTAAATCTACATCCTCTGCAATAACCTGCAAACTAAAATGGGAAATAAACTACTCTAAGCAAGTTCGGGGTGACAAGTTCGGGTGGAAAATCGGGGGTTCATATGTAGTTTGCCATAACAAAGCCCTTTAAGGGTGGCAATGGGCAAGGTTAGAGCCACCTCTTTCTCTTATTGTAGTAGTGGATTGAACTCATGACCTCATCTTGGAAGTAAGGGTGTGTTCAACCACTGAGCACGGGTGTGGGATTATTTTGGATCATTATTAATTTATTACGATTTTGAATGAACCTTTATTTATGTAAAAACTTTTTGAGAAATAATTTTCACTTATCACAAGTTGGAGACAAAAAAAATATCTTTTATAGAGTTTATTTATTTATAGAGTGTTAATTTAGGGAGTTTTTATTGCAATGGGATATTTTATATTTAGTCAACTGAACTACGGTTAATATGTATGCAGCTTTTTAATACAATTTTATAAAAATATTTTTTAAATGATTATCATTGGATAGAAATCATGATAGAAGTTTCTTTTAATAGAATTTTATCAAAATATTTTAATTTTATTTGATTTCCATGAATGGACGACAAAGCTGGAGCTTTTCACCCGAATTTCTTATAAAAAAAAAAGAAAGAATTAATTACTTCCAAAGTCCTAAAAAGATCCCAATTATATTCACTGAAAACTATAAAGTTAAAACGTTGTATTTTGATACTAAATAGTAGACTTTTGTTTCTTTTCAATTTTCCATTAAAGTTCCGGGAGAAAGTGACCGATTAACCACAGTCATGTGCAGATCACATGTGTTGACCAAGGGCATCGACCGTCCAACAAATAATTGACTTCTTTTTTTTTTAGAAAAAATAAAAAAAAAAGGTTAAATGGGAAAAAAATTTATAGAAAATCATTTCTCTTTTTTTTACTTAAAAAATACTCCCACCTTCAAAATTTCTCCCCCTTTCTCCACATCACCACCATTAATTCCGGCCTTCATAACCATCTCCTCATCTAGTTCTACAGAATGAAAAAAGAAAAAGAAAAAAAAAACTAAAAAATTAGAAACCAAAATTCTAGAAACTAAATAGACATCATCCTTAATCCAGCCAAACTCAAATTGAGCTTCAACTCATTGTCGTCGATTTGTCCTTATAGGTGCATTTGGTCATCACCACCATCAATATATAATCCTTTCTCTTTCATAGATAAATCAGTAATAATCTTTACAATTTATCATTAAAAACACATCAAATCTCAAAAATTACAGATAGTTGAGCGGGACGGAGGTCGTCGAGTGGTTATCGACTTTACAGCAGCGGCGGGGATGTGTGGAAACTTGCGGTGGCTAGCTTTGTGACAGCCCAAAGACTGGTCTGACTGGGAATTTTTTTAGCAAATGCTGCACTCGAGAAGACGGAGTTCCTTTTCGGCTCAAAAAAAAAAAAAAAGGAGTTTCTATCGGCGGTGGATGTCTTTATGACCGTTGGTTGTGGGAAGTTTTTGCTTGCGGGAGCTGAGGGATGCGCCGCCTGCAATTGCCGCTGCAACTTCCACTGCAAAGAAGTCTTCCCGGTGGCATAAGTAATCCACGGCCCATTTCACTTTGGGCAAATAATGGAGGGCTGAGCTTTGGGGGGTGGAGAAAGAGGTTTTGGAGAATAATGGGAGAGACGCATTTGGGACGTAAAATATATTTTCATTTTAACCCTTTTTCATTTTTCGGAAAAAAATTAAAAAAAAAAAAGTCAACATATTTTGTTGGACGGCTATTGCCCTTAGTCCACACATGTGATATGCACATGACTCTCTATTGACCGGCCACTTTCTCCCTGAACCTTAACGGAAAATTGAAAAGAAACAAAAGTTTATTATTTAGTATCAAAACGCAACCTTTTAAATTTATAGTTTTGAGTCAATATAATTGCCATTTTTTTAGAACTTTTGAATTAATTAATTCAAAAAGAAAAGGAACGAAAAAAAAATCTAGCCCTTGCAATATTGAAATCCCAAAATGATATCTTGGGGTAAAATTATCCTATTAAGGGGTAAAAGCCCAAAGTTTCTAGAGTATACAACATATTCAGTGTGAATCCAAACCCGGAAGGCTGGAAGCCAAAACAAAACAGTAACTTCATTAATTACAATGACGTGCAACAAATTGAAGGTCATTGTTCATTTCTAGCTGTTGCTCAAGAATTTCCTCGGCTGATCTTGCGGCTTGAGAAGTACACCACGCGATCTGTATCATCTTCAAGGTAATAATGGATCCCAAACCTGATGGAATCTCACCAAGATTGGGGCATCTATACACTCTAAGCTGTTCAAGGCTCGGGAACGGTTCATCTTGGACAGTCCATTCTTCAACATCCAAACCACGGAGTTCCAAGTACTTGAGGTTCTGGAACCCACCGTCTTCCACATCCCAACTTCTTCCCGAAAGTGCTTCCCATCTTAACTTGAGAACCTCTAGATTGGGCAATTGCCCAATTGTTGAGATTGCAGTCCACGGCAACTTGAGCTTTGCCAGTGTCAATCGTCTGAGACTTCTGGGCAAATCAAAAGCAGGGGAGAGATTGTCAATCTTGCCAAAGGTTAGATTCTTAGATCCATATACATTCAGTGATTCAAGATGAGTCAGGCGGCTCAATATTGGAACCTTAAAATCAGGGTTAACCCCAACACTATTCCGAAAAATACATTTGAGATTTCGAAGCCCTGGAAACATGTCGAGTAGTTCCTCTGTTTCATTTCCCAAACTAAGATACGGAGTTGAGAATTTTTCCAAGTGCTCCAATGGACCGTATTCATGATCATTAAGACTATCACCTAAAACCACCACGCCGATGCTCACGCGCCTCAAGTTTTTCATCAGCCAAAAGGTTCTTGGAAGAAAAGGGTTACCTCCCGGAGGAGACTCTATTCTTAGAATTTCCAACTTCCACAGTTCGGCAATGGATGATGGAACGACATAGCGATCTCCACGTTTACATTGAATGGCAAGGTATCTCAGATTAACCATCAATGTTACTTCTTCAGGAAATGGAGCATCTATCTTTATGCACTCCAAGTCCAAAACATTAAGCAACCTAAAGCTGTTAAAAATGTCAGAGGGGCATGGAAATCCTTTCGATTCTTCGTCTTCCTCGTCACCAACAACCACCAGAGAACGGACATATCGTCCAGAAGGTTTTGTTTCCACAAATCTGATCCATTCAGCATTAATGCGCAGGCGATAGTTCTCATTCCTTGTTGTGGGGTTCAATTTCAAGGAAGAATGAGAAATATCCTTGTCATGCAACAATTGTAGAAACTTATCGTCTTGAGCTTTCACCAAGCAAAAATCGTGAAGCAGATCATGAACACGACATGCTTTTATGCCACCAATAGAACTTCTTTCTTCAATGATTACTAAATTTCTATTGATTAGATCAAACAAGTAATCTTCTGCAATTTTAAATAAGCTCTTTTTTCCGTCTCTAGGTATAAATCCTTCTCCAATCCACAAACTCATCAGCTTTTGGGCTCTAACAACTCTATCCTCCGGGAATGCTCCAAAGTAAAGGAAACATGGCCTCAGTTTATCTGGTAGATGCTTGTAGCTTAATTCAATTACATCCATGCACCCATTACTTACTTGCGATCCCACATCTTTCCAAAATTCAATATCCTTGCCTGGCAGAATACCTGCAACCAAGACTACTGTTAGAGGTAACCCCTTACAGTTTTCGGCAATCTGTTTAGTTATCTCTAATCGTTCATGATTGAGAGGGGAATCATGTGCATGGGATAGCTTCACTTTCAATAATTCCCAACTCTCCTCATCAGAAAGTGGTCGAAGTCGATGCAAACTCCATTGAGGCGTCGCTTTTGATGCCAAATCATCGATTCGACTGGTAAATATGATTCGACTTCCATTTTTGTCATCTCCAAGCGAATGTTTTATGCTATCCCATGCTTTGAGGTCCCAAATGTCATCTAGAACAATGAGATACCTTTGCTGCTTCAAAATTTTTCGGAGTTTATCAGCCAAATCATTGTCATCTGTTGATTTAGCATAACTTTCGCGGGCATTAACACCAGTGACATCGGTCAAAATGTCAAATAACATCTCCCTCCGATTATACACTAGGGAAACACAGCACCATGCCCGTTTACTGAAGTGATAACCAACAGATCGATGATTGTAAACTTTTTTGGCTATGGTGGTCTTGCCGAGACCAGGCAAACCGCTAATAGAAACAATTTCAAGATTCTTTGTTCCACTTTCCAGATTAGCAATTATTGAGCGTGTCTCTTCTTCCAAACCAATCACAACATCTTCAAGTCTTGGATGACTGTCTTGTCTTATAGGGACGTGGCTAGAAGATGTCAATACCGCCATATCCATCAGATCACTGTACTTCTTCACCTCAAGCTTAATGATCTTAATTGCATCTATTACATGGTACAGCTGTAATATATCATACCAAATAGGATGATCTGCAATCAAGTTGGAGCTGATGACATGTTCTGCTAGAAATACCAAATCTATAAGCCGTATCCAAAGGACTTTCAAATCTGCCAGATCTCTCTCTTCTTGCAACTCCATGTTGCTTTTGAGGAATGGTTCAAGGGAAAGAAGCTCCCCATGAACCATCACAAGTTGGTGCTTTGCAAAAGCTATTTTACCAAGATGATACTTCACCATATCCTGTAACTTTTCCATGAAGAAATCGAAAAATCCCATACGATTTGTCCTTGGAAAATGGAAGTCTGACGAATTCAAGATAGGGACATAAAGCTTTGTAATCTCTGACTTCAAGTTGTCAATCATTCCATGGAGACTAGAAATATCCACACTTAATTCGCCAATTAAAAGTGAGGAGAAGAGAGATAGTACCTCATTGATGGCAGCAGAAATTGGTGTGAAAACTTCATCTCCAGCATCTGTTACAGCTGCCTCTTCTGGATCCATGGAGAAGGTTATCATGATTATCAAACCCTCTTTAAGGACTTCAACGTAATCCTTCAGAGGCTCAGCTAAATCTTCCAGTAGAAAATTAACAAGCCTGACAACATGTTGACGGTTTCGAAACTTGTCAGATCTCATTGAATTTGAAGCTTTCAAGAGGCTTATGATCATCTCCGGAGTGCAGAACATGCACTTCTGTAGCAGATCTGAAAGCAGAATTCCCCAATTTCGGGCCATCTTTTCATCATTCCATTTCTGAAAGCAAAACAGGAACAGAGTTGTTGCATCATGCACTAAATCCTTCATGCAAACCATGAAATCTTTCAGTATCGATTTCTGATGGTTGGGACATCTTATTGGAAATAAATCCAAAAGGGTTCCCAGAAAACTTAGCTTTTCTTGGAGAACCAAGGGTTGATTCTTGACAGAAACAATAATACTAGCATTCAAGTTGGAAAGATCCTCGAGATTCTGAACAAGGCAATTGACCAAGGTCAGAATGTCATCACTTGAGAGAGTAATAGACTTCATTGAGTCCAACAAAAGATCAGAAATCTGTTTAATCCTTGGCTTAAAGTGCCCGAATTTGTTCAGCAAACAATCAGCCTTAGAATACAATCATCTTCCTCATCACTATCATTTGTTGTAGCAGCCGATTCTGCAAGTACATCTTCAAGGCCCTTGTTAGCACTTTTAAAACTGTCATCTTCATCAGCTCCCTCGCAAGAGGATAGACACCGCATAAACTGGACCAGGAATATCAGCTTCAGCTCAAGAACTTCACGAAAGCCAGGATATTGAACCTCTAGCGTCTCCAGTTCTTCAGCAACAGAATCAACTGCGGCGGAAATTTGAGCCATTTTTTGTGATTTGTTCTCTCCTTCAAACAAAATGTATGGAAGAAAATTTTAATGCAAAATGCAAGCTCTCTGAACAAAAGCTCAGCTGACTTTTAGGCCTCTTCGCAAGTCAACTCTCTCCCACAACTACTTTTCATTAAACTCTATCACTTCTCTAGCTGGCATCCACATTGCAATCCGTAAACTATGGCAAAATAATACCACCGTCCACATTGAACGTGAAAATGGTCTTACGTTACTGTTCAACGGATGCAACTCAGTTTCGAGCCAGACAACCAGTATTTAATTTCCTTTTTGTGATATTATAATAAGGATTAGCCGTTGGAAGCACAAATGATCCTCGCTGGCCTGTGCAGCTCTCTCCGTTGGCTGTCTCCACTTGTAGGGGAGCAGAAAACGAAGTGCTTGTTTCGACATCTATTCATTTTGCATTTTTAACTCATTTTGCCTCTTAAATACAAAACCCTATACAAACTAAACTGACGTCCAAATAACTTTTATGATTTACATTTTAAAATTAAACTTGAAACATTTTGTTAGTGCAGTAATCATTTTTGAACTAAAAATAGTTTAGTGACTAAATCCAAAACTTTGCACATTTATTTCAGTTTTTCTCTAGTAAAAAAACCGAGGCCTAATTGGATGGTGGTTAGGAAAAAGTTTTTTGGAATATGTATTGCAATATCAAGTACGAAAAATATCACTAAACAATCAAAAAGTGTCAATTTTAGTCACTGTAAAAAAATTCAAAAATGATCACTAAATAACGGAAAAGTGTTGATTTTGGTCACTGTAAAATATTAATTTTAGAATCTATTCCGTGATTTTAGTGATCATTTTATAGTACCAAAATCGACACTTTTTCGTTGTTTAGTGATCATTTTTTAAATATTTTTTTCCAGTGATTAAAACACTTTTCGATTGTTTAGTGATAATTTTTCGTACTTGATATTTCAATACATATCCCAAAAAACTTTCTTCCAACCACCATCTAAACAACTTTTTCCTAAAATACCATCCAAACAATTTTTACATTTCCTATTATGTTTTGCATTTAAAACATTTTTCACTTTTTTAAGTAAAAAATGAAAATTAAGTGGACATCTAAACAAGCACGAAGTGACCGAAAGAATAAAAAAAAATAATAAAAATATTATTAATGATCTGTACTTGGTTCCTTTTTTTCTTCGAAGAACAACATGGTGTATTTCTAGGACTGAGAGTCTCAAGTCTCAGCTGCATTGCAAATATGTTGTCTAATGAGTTTGGGTACATTGAGTTTTTTTTTTTTAAAAAAAAAAAAGAATTCTGCATGGTCTATGGTCTATGGTCTATGGTCTATGGTGTTGACTCTGCATTGTTCTCTGTGAAAGAGAAAAATCAAAGAAAAATGCCAAGTCAATTGGCAATTTGTAAAATGGGGTCGGACCATCCGCTCTCAAATTTTGACATGCGCGCTCGTTCGTGGTTATGTGGATATTTTGGTATTCTTTTTAAACATTTAGTACTCCCACCATTCCAATTCAATAGGCTCACTTTCTCTTTTGGTACGCTCCAAATTTTAATTTCATTCTAGACATTAACATTAATTTTTTTTATCCGTAAGTTCTCTAATTAATATAACCTACAACTACATTGAAATTTAGAACATTTAATTGAATCTAACTCTCAGTCTCACCATATTAACTAGCAACCACTAGTCATTAATAGGGGCATATTAGGTGAAAATTGCTCAAAAACTAACAATTTAACCTATATTATCTAAATGTTTTTAAAAAAATTTCGTGTTTGTCTAAATAGGCCTATTGAATTGGAATGGAGGGAGTAAAATATATTCTTCTTCATGTAAACTTAAAAATTTGACTCTAATAAACAATTTTTTTTCCGTTTTTTATCTCAGGTTATGATACTTGACGAGCATCCTTTATTTTATTGGTTAAGAAAAAATGTACGTCAATGTTTGAGACTTAGCCAAGTCAGATAATTGAACAACAGTCTAGTATTTTGGGTATTGGCTCTGTTTCGTTGTTTTTTATGATTGTTTCACAATTTTTTTATTAATAAATATCTCAGTTATTCTATATTCCTACCTACATCTCCAGCGAAAAGCAAAAAAAAAAAAAAAAATCTAAAAACATATATTGAACAATCGATGTAAACATAGCAAACCTCCAAAGTGTGGTGGACTACGTTGCTGATCAATTTAGAGATTCTGAATCTTTCTTGACTTAACCAACTGAAGTCAAATATCAGGTGTTTTTCCTATACACAATGCAATAATAGTTTGAAAAATATACGGGAATTGAATGATAGCCTAGTGGTTAAGGTGCTATCTTTTCTGGTAATAGAACATGGTTTGATTCCCACCAAGGGGTTTGTAAGGGGGGTTTTACCCACATTTAAGTGGGTTCACTGGGGTGAATTTTTTTTTAAAAAAAAAAGTTTGAAAAATATACCAATAGTCACTAGATCATCTTCACTTTCATATACCGGAACATTTCCAGAAGTAGAACCATCTATCATCTGATCTTGATTTACCTCTATATATAAATATATCACGAACTAAATACACGTTTCGTAGAAAAACGAGAGGCTATCGTTACTAGATCTATTGAACTGTTTGTCTCTCGCATAATATTACCAAGACCTTAAAAAAATGATTACCTAATTAACCTTGTCGACTTTGAATTGATTGGTTTGAAGAATTTTATTCATCATAAACTAGAATACTAAGATGAACACAACTGTGAAACTTTCAAGGATTATTGTGTTCCGAGATGATTATTATGATATGATTTCCTAGGTGATTATAAATGCATTCCTAGAATGATTTTACATTAATGAAACTTGAAAGAGCTTTCATGTTTACAAATTGAAGCCTCTCGGATCCGCAGGCTAACGTTCATGAATTATTTTATTCAAAGACCTCGTTGAATTTTTTAATGACTCAACAGATTATATGATGAAAGGAATGTTAAAAGAAAAATTGATCAAAGGCATGATGTGAGCTTTTCTTCTTCTCATGTTTTAAAGATCTTTAGCTATATAAATATGTGGCTGGTTTACAAGGAAATGAGAAAAAAAAAAAACCATACAGACATGTGGCTGGTCAAGAATCTCATGAATGTATATATGCTGATTGATATACCGATTTTGATCCAGGACTATAAAGTGAATAATTGTATAGATTGACAAGGGTTGATGTTAATATGTGAATATTAGGAAAACGGAGGGACTTAATTGTAGAAGTCAAATTAGTTGACTGATTATATGTAATAAATAGCATATCTATGTCCGAGTGTTAATTAATGAAACATAATCAGATTTAAAACCCTAATTGCTTCTTCTCTAAGCTTTAGAAACAGACTTGATCTTCATCCATTTTCCCCTGATTGATCCATCGATCCTTCAAGATGGTATCAGGGTAGGATTAATTCCTGCTCAGTGCCAGAATACCGACCAAACGAACCAAATAATTTATCAGTTCGCCGATTAATTTCCAAACCCTAGATCGATCGAACTGAAAATTGAAGAACATCAAAAATGGATTATCAACAGGAAGTAGATCACCAAGACAGAGGAATTGGAGTTCTGACGAAGTATGGAGGTGGAGGGTAAATTCATCCTTTGTTCTTGCATCCATCAGACAACTCATCAATGATGGTTGTTCGACAAAGCTGACGAACCTCAACTATGTCTCCAAGAGTCATAACATGAGGAGATTCTTAGAAAGGAATAATAAGATTGGATTTATTGATGGATCTGTGAAAAAACAGCACCTGATCATCCGGATTTCGAATAGTGGCAAAGAGTTAATGGCACAGCCTTCTCATGGATCTTGAACTCCATATCAGCAGAGCTAGTGGATAACTATGATTTGGTAGTGGATGCAAATGAGCGTCGGGATGAATTGCAAGAAAGATATGGAACTAGAAACGGACCACAAATCTATCTACTAAGGTGAGAAGTGGCCACGATATCACAAGAAAATCGTCTTTCATCATACTACTCCAAACTAAAAAGACTATGGGATGAGTTAAATTGTTTGGATGCAGTTGCAAATTATACTTGCAATTTTAACAAAAACTTGACTAGAGTAAATCAACATAAATTGATGGATTTTTTAAGTGGATTAAATGATTAATACAATAGTATTAGAGATTAGATATCGGTAATGGATCGGTTGCCGGATGTGAAGAAGGCATGTACTGTGGTTGTGACAGTTGCAAATAGCAGAATTTTCAAAAATTGTTTGTTGAATTGGTGGAACAAAGTGCAATTTAGTCCAAAAGAGGAATTCTGGCACTGTGCAGCAAGGTTCAAGAAACATTTTTGCTAACAAAAATCAGAACATTGGAGAAAATATTACTGGAGGCTATGGAAATTGGAATCATGGCAAGGGAGGTTATTGACCAGAGAGGAAAATGCATTCATAATGGATAAGGTTTTGAAGCGGCTGCAAAAATATGATCACTGTGGAGCAACATGCTATTTAAAGGAGGGTTGCTTCAAGTTAATTGGTTATCCAGAGTGGTGGGAAGGCAACAAAGAAAGGAGGCAGGCATTTGGTCATACAAATTCAGCAAATCTTGCAGAAACTCCTGTGGAACTTGGTCTAGAAGCTCAGCCTAGCAATGAGAATCTTTTATCCATGATGAAGATGATTCAACAAGAGATGTCAAAACTGATGAAAGAAAAGGAAATATCATCGGAAGGAGATCACAACAACACGGCATACTATCATGACTTCTCAGGTATGAGCACTTTCAAGGCCTTAAAAGCTTTAGATTTGACTGACTATGAGTTAGCATTATTATGGTTCTTAGACATTGTTTCTACAGGGCATATGGCTGCTCTCTTAAAACTTCTAGCTCAATAGAGAAAAGTCACCAAATACACTCCTGTAACCTTGCCAGATGGTAGTACAAAGCAAGTAGAACACAGAGTAACAGTGAAGTTGTTTGATAAGTTAGAAGTGTCAGCTTCTCTTCATATTCCTTCCTTCAAATACAACCTGCTTTCAGTAAACAAGTTAGCAGTTTCTTCCCACATTGATTGTTTCTTTTCCAGCAACTTGTTT